CTGTAGCATGCCACTGCGTCTGATCCGAGGCGGGCATTTTGCTCCCTCAACGGGCAATTGGTCTTTGGACCTTCCTTTAGCATGCCTTTGTTACGGAGTGCGATTATCAGTCTTAGTTTGGGAGCAGTATTGTCTCAAAGTTGGCCAAAGCGCTCAGAAATGTCTTTAAAAAATCATGTTTTGGGTCGATTTTAAGCAGCCACTGCGTCTGATCCGAGGCGGGCATTTTGCTCCCTCAACGGGCAATTGGTCTTTGGACCTTCCTTTAGCATGCCTTTGTTACGGAGTGCGATTATCAGTCTTAGTTTGGGAGCAGTATTGTCTCAAAGTTGGCCGAAACGCTCAGAAATGTCTTTAAAAAATCATGTTTTGGGTCGATTTTAAGCAGCCACTGCGTCTGATCCGAGGCGGGCATTTTGCTCCCTCAACGGGCAATTGGTCTTTGGACCTTCCTTTAGCATGCCTTTGTTACGGAGTGCGATTATCAGTCTTAGTTTGGGAGCAGTATTGTCTCAAAGTTGGCCGAAACGCTCAGAAATGTCTTTAAAAATCATGTTTTGGGTCGATTTAAGCAGCCACTGCGTCTGATCCGAGGCGGGCATTTTGCTCCCTCAACGGGCAAATGTTCTTTGGACCTTCCTTTAGCATGCCTCTGTTACGGAATGCGATTATCAGTCTTAGTTTGGACAGTATTGTCTCAAAGTTGACCAAACAGGCACAACGATTTTCAAAGACATTTCTGAGCGTTCGGCCAACTTTGAGACAATACTGCTCCAAACTAAGACTGATAATCACACTCCGTAACAAAGGCATGCTAAAAAGGTCCAAAGACCAATTGCCCGTTGAAGAGGACGAATACCGCCTCGGTCAGACGCAGTGGCTGCTTAAAATAGGCCCAAAACACGATTTCATAGACATTTTTGACCGTTTGGGAAACTTTGAGACAATACTGCTCCCAAACTAAGACTGATAATCACACTCCGTAACAAAGGCATGCTAAAGGAAGGTTCAAAGACCAATTGCCGGTTGAGGGAGCAAAATGCCCGCCTCGGATCAGACGCAGTGGCTGCTTAAAATCGGCCCAAAACACGACCCCAGCTACCTCGCCGCGACCCCTTAAAATTTTTCGCGACCCCACTTGGGGTCGCGACCCTAAGGTTGAGAACCACTGGCCTAGCCCTTAATGGTAATAGTAAGGTAGGCCGGCCCGGCGGCCACGCATGCTGCCTGGCTGCCTGCCTGTCGGGGGCCCGGCTGCTCTGCAATGCGGGCGGATAAGACAGAGACAGGCGGCCAAGGCAGCCGGGCCGCGCTGACAGAGTGGCGGTGCTCGGTGGCCTTGGCCGTGCCATCCACCGCCCCGGGCCCGCGACTCCAGGACTCCAGCGTCGGGGCTCCAGTGGGGCGGACAGCGTGCCAGCCAGCGCGAAGCGGCGCAAAGCCCACGGCCCGGCACGCCGCCCTCGCGACGTCGGGGACGAGACAAGTCCGACGGGCTAAGTGGAGGCGAAAACTCAAACTCCTTCCGGGCGAAGGCGAAGGCGAAGGTCGGCCTCCCTTCATGCGATGCGACTGCCGCTCTGCTCGACTGTCCCGTCGCGCACGTCCGACTCGTTGGCTGGGGCGGCCGTCACCGCCACGACCCCGTACCGCGCACCGCGCCGTCGTCGCGTGCTGGGTTCAGCGTCGAGGTTTTAGTTTATAGCGGCGGCCAGGCCAGCGCCAGCACCTCAGGGCCGCCAGCAGACAGCCGCCACGCACGGCCACGCAGCGCGACGCGGTGCACTAATGCACCGCCAAGGGAACGGCGGCGTGTCGCGGTGCCGACGACGTCGATACCGACGGGCAGCCTTGCCGCGCTCCGCCGCGCTGAGTCATTGGACGCAGTTCCGAAGGGTCGTTCTCTCCGTCTCTGTCGCACCCCTACGTAACGCCCCATGAGTGCGACAGAGAAGCGAACCGCTCGACAGGGCTTCCTGGCCGCGCTGTCACCCTGGGCCTCTCCGGGAGCAGCTTCTGCACGAGGACCACACACCACAGTGTAGGGGAACGGGCCAGCACGCCCCACCCCGGACGACCCCAGCTAGCAGTGCAGGCAAACTCCTCGCGGCAGTGTCTCGCTTATCTGCTGGGGCCAAGCAGGCCAGGGCCGGCCAGGGCCTTCCGCGGGACGTGCCTGCGCATCCGCGGCGAGGCAATGCGAGGCTGTTTGCCGCCCTAGTCAGCCCTAGCTGCCTTGGTGCCCCCCCCCCCCCGCCCCGGCCACCCTCCGGTCCACCCCTCGTGCCAGGCGCCTGTTGCCCGCCCTACGGCCCCCGCCCCGCGGCCCCACCGCGCCGCAGCGATATGCATTCCGACGTCAGCGGGGGTTCGTAATAGTACGGATGGCGGGAATGAAATGGGGCGCCGAATGGGCTCGTCGGGGCTCATCTACCTCATCCCTCGGGGGCACGCCGGTACGACTCTGAAAATCCATTTCGTGCCCTTGTCTCTCTCGCACTCCTTCGGGCCCCGCGCACGAGCGCGCGACGAAACGACTCTGCGGAACCAGTCTGGTGGGGGCACCCTTCCGATGATCACCACCGCGAGGCCGCTGCGGCTACCTGTCGAGGCGTGGCGCTGGCCAGCTGACCGCAACTGACACAACTGACGTCCGCGGCGGCGAGGCGGTGAGCACGATGACACCATCAGATAGCAGGCCAGCTTGTAGCTGACAGGAGCGGCGCGCTGGGCCATGGCACGTCCGCCCCGCCGGCCCGCCGGCCTGCCGGGGGTTTTGCTTTGCGTACAATGCCGCACAAAGGACCGCGGACCGGAACTAATGGTCGCGAGGGGCCGAGGGACGCCGCGGTGCCGCGTGGCCGCGTGGTCGCCAGTCCGGCGGCCAGCCCTACCCAGCAGCGGCCAGCCAGCGCAGCACATGTCAGAGCGCGGCGCCGGGACCCGGGACAGCGCCGCGGCGCCACACTGATTGCGCGGGGAAAAGCAAAAGCGCGGAGCCAAGCGCCAGGCCCCGCCAAGTAAGCCGTTCCCGGCGCCGCGCCGCGCAGCGCTTCCGTCGTGGCCGCGCGCGCCGCGTACCGCGTACGCCACATTCCCGCCGAGCCGAGCCCCGAGCCCCGCGCAGGTCCCCGCCGCGGAGGTCCCCGCCGCGGGGGAGAAAAAAGAGACACATTCTGGAGAAAAATTGTCTCATTTAGTGAGACAACCTTGCGCAATCGAGCGACCCGCCACCGCGCCGCGGCAGGGCCAGGCACGCCAGGCACCGGGCAGGACGAACCGGCCGCAACTATGGCCGCCGGAGAACGCGGAGCGCCGCAGAGCAACGCAGAGCAACGCGGAGCAACACAGAGCGGCTCCAAAGTAATGACGGAGTAAGAGCACACAGCACACAGCCAAACGCCGCGCGGCGCCGGCCTGGCCTGGCGTTTCCTCCTGCGGTACACGCGGAGCACGCCGAGCAGCGCAGGGCACTGTCTGACGCGGCCTACACGACTCGCCGAACAATGATACGCCGTACGCCGTACGCGGTACGCGCTCTGCAATTAGATTTACAGCCACTCGCGGCGCGCTCGCCGTGCTGACCAGGTACGCCAGGTACCAGGGTGTGTGACGTCACTCGGCGCAACGCTGCCGGACAACGACGAGGGCCCCGTCGTCGTGGAGACACCGCCACGGCCACGACGACGCGGCCTCCGCCGGCGACACCGCGTCCGCCTGCCTTACGACAGCCGCCAGCTCGAGCTAGCCGGCTCCTCCTCCTCCTGGTCGTCATCGTGGTCGTCGTCATGCTCGCGCCGCCGCCGTGTCACGGCTCGGTAGGTGCGTCCGGCCGCGTCGGCAGCCAGTCCCAAACCCCGTTACAGCGTTGCAGGACGCCCCCCGACGCCCCCCGCCCCACTCGCCTGCAGGCAGACACTCGGCGGGATAACGCGACGGTTCGATCACCGCTCCAGCGCATAGATAAAACACTCAACAACGAGAAAACGCCGGTGTTTCCACGTCAACATACCCGGCGACGGTCACGCGCGGCCTTGGGCCCTAGCGTGCCGTGCCCTGCCACCGCCCGGCCGGCGTGGCGTGGCGTGGCGGCTTCCTTGTCGATAACGCGAGGACGAGTCGAGACCAGAGCCGCTGAGAGGAGAGGAGAGGCGCTGCGCTTGGCTGCGCTGTGCGTATCGACCAATCCCGATAGTGGGCCGATGCATTGATTTTAAGGGTGGAGTCGCTAGGGACTAGGGACGCCTCCCCCTCCTGTCAGCCTGCCCTGCCCTGGGCCATGGCCCATGGCCTTCCCCGCTGGTCGAGGGCGAAGAGATAAGCGACTCACTGATCACGGGCGGCAACCTGCTTTTAAGCACGGGGCACTTGAGTGGCTGGTCAAGTGGCTTGCGGAGACAACACAGGCGTGCGGCGTGCCTGTTTGTGGCTTTGACAACAAACGGGCGGATGGCCGGTCATTCGGCTTGGCAGCCTGTAGCGCCTGCGAGGTAGGCCACTCATCCGTCCCGCAACACACTCGTGAGGAGACGGTGGCCTACCTTGCCCCTGTCGTCTCCACGGCGGCGAGGTAGGCCGCCACCTCACACCGGTGTGTTGCGGGACGGACTGCTGGCCTAACTCGCAGGCGCTACAGCCCGCGAAGCGGCGCGTGAGCCGGCTGGAGGCTCGCATGAGACACAGCCAGCCCAGCCGCGAGGGCCTGCGGACTCAGTGGCGGCTGCCGCTGCTGGAGCCTTCTGGAGCGGCGCTGGAGTGCCTGGAGCCGAGCGGCCAGCCAGGCAGGCTCCTGGCCCGGTCCCCCGACCCGGGTCCGGGACACGGACACGTCATGCCGCTAATTGCGAAATGGATTGCACACTGTGTGTTCTGCCCCGTCCCCGCCCGTCCCCGCCCCTCTCGCCGCTCTCGGCCCGGGCCCACCGTGGTCCACCGCCACCACCCCGGCCTCTGGCACTTCCAGCTCCACCGATCTCGCGATCTCGCTTGCGCGGACTCACCTTGATCTCGTGGTATTTCTCTTCCAGGTAGTAGGCGATGTTCCTTGCTTCTTCATACTTCTTGGAGAGGTGCAAGTACTTGTCGTAGTGTGTTTTGAAGAGGACAAATCTGAAACGCACAGATTAGGCTTTAGTGTAATAAAGATAAGAAATTTCTGTTATTCTGCTCCACAGCCCAGCAATTACAATTTACCTGTAGAAATCGTTGTCCGTCACCATGTCTCTGATGCTGTCTTCTGGATCAACTCGATCGTAAATCCCAACATGATGGTTTCCTTTGCGCTGAACATCTTTTCCGCGGAGACGAGAGGTATCCAACACTTGAAATCGCACATCATTTTCGGATTCACATTCACTGAAACACTCTGACTTCGGGAGTAGCACTGGCACAGGAGCAGGCAAAGCTAAGCTTGCACTGAACCCAGAATCACTTGCACTGTGACTTATTTCCCCACTCACAACACCGTTCGAAGTGTTATCACTTTTGGATTTTACACCTGCTGAGGTCGATTGAGCACTTGCATTTACGATTACAGTGTCTTCACTTTTACTGTGCTTCATGTCGAGACTGGTAGATACACTGCACCTGGCTGCCACTGGTGGACGATATTCATCCAAGCAGTTACGATGGTAAGCACTTCCACGTGGCATGTTTCCTGTCCCTGACGTGATAAGTTGCGACATTTCTTAAATGGCAACCTGCAAACAGACAAATTATACACATGAATTGCGTTACTGAAAAATTTTAGGTAGTCAATGATCTAGTAGTTTCTTCACAGAATTAACCAACAAAATAAGCTATCACCCAAGAAATGTATTGTCACCCCATGTAAACACCATTAACGCCTTTCACTAACTGATGGAGAATGTAACTGTCCCCTCCAACACAGTGGTTTAAGAGCAGACGATTAAGCCCCAATGCACCTTGACATGAAACAACATACCATTATCTGACCACAGCAGTGTAAACGAAAGCGAGACACGACGCAAAGTACCGACGGGAGGTACAAACGCGCTGCGCAGAGCCCGGCGGCCAAAACACAACTGACGGTGGAGTGGAATAAGCGAGCGAGCGCGCGCGACCCGCGTCCCGTTGTGTTGTTTTCGTTTGCTGTGAACGGCGCGACGCGGTGGCCGCGAAACGTGGCTCTGGCTCGAGCAAACTCCCCTTCCCCTTTCCCTTCCACCGCAAGCTGCCTTGCCATTGGTGCATTCGTTGGTGAGCGGGCTGAGGTGGGGGAAAGAGAGCCGGGGCTCGTTGTGCTTTTAGACGTGCGCGCTCGCACTGCTGCCAACATAGTGCATTGAATATTGGACAGAGTTTCGACTGTCGCTCATCCTGTAAACGTCATCCCCAACGGGAGCGTAGTAACAGATTACTAATTCTAGCTTTTATATTTCTATTCCTGTATGTTGATTCCAAACTCACAACATTCAATTAGCATCTTTTGTAATTTCTAGTTCTCCGCTCAACTGGCGGGAAAATGCCATAGGGCATGAAGGAATTTGAATCAAACGGATGGCTATTAAAGCGGTTTGTGTTTAAATAGCTTTCTTAGTATGAGAAGGGTCATTGCTATGCTTTAGTTGTCTGAATGTCAGATGGAAGAAAAACTTCAATAAACTTAAAAAATTTATTTGATTGTTTTGACACTAATCATATTTTGTACAAGAAAAAGGCTTCACCATTAATAATAAATATACTTTTACAAAGTTACCAATACAAAAAATTTGTGATTTCATAGAGGCAAACAATTCACAGATTTACCAGCAAAATCAATAATGTTGAATACAATCATGAATTTTCACCATCACAGACAAGTTAACAACATTTGAAGTCAACTGTTAGAAAACAAATCATACACAACTGTAAATTCCAACAATACATACTATTTCAACTTAAATTTTTTTCTAGGTAATTTAACTGGTCTTAAATAAGGGTTGTCAATGGTATCAGTTTCTCCTTTCTGATCCTCTTCTTCAACTTCCTTCCTTTCAGCCACTTCAGCCTCTTTCTTGGGTTTGCGCGGAACTTGATGTACATTTTCTTCTTCAAAGTCAAAAATCTGGTCTCTGGGCAGAAGAGCATCAAGGTATGGGGGAAATTTTGGTTTCACAGCAACCACTGCAGGAACCAAAATAAAATGTAAATTAGATGGATGCTAAAAATAAGATTGACTAGAAAGACAATGGTTTCAGGTTTACATACATGGAAACATGGTGTCTGGACCTTGAAATAAACTTTGAGTATCGTTGGTTTTAGTGATAAACTTGCAAAGAGCTCTCTCAAGGTCTCTTTTGTGTTGTGCTGATTTTTCTCTAATGGCCTCATACTCAGTCACAGGTTGTTTATGAGTCTGACAAAAAAAAAAGATTAAGCAAAGGTCAGCCAAATATGACACAAAGGGTTGATTTCCTTTAGGTATATAGTGGTAGTTTGAAAAATAGGATAATGGAACTTACTGGTGTTCGGATGTAAGCGTGAGGGTCAGGGAACTCTGGCATATGATTTGGAATGTGAGAAGGGAACTTCTGCTTTGAACCAGCTTGTAGAATGTTTGTAGGCTTTGGCGCAGCAGATGGAACGGGCTGTGGTAATGTTGTGCGTGCTGGTCGTCGACCATAGGCTTGGATTCCATCTAGGTTGTAACCCATGTTGACCAGAGCAATAATCACATCACCTATGACTGGTTCTGTGCGCCCTGCTAGCTCACAGTAGGACTTGCTGCTGTTTCCCACTTCTGTCAAAACTGAAAAAAAAAAAAGAACAGAGAGTTAGTTAAGTGCATCAAGCTGGGCTTAACCTCAACACTTGAAGAATACACATTTGATACTCTCCAATCTAATCCCCACTCGATTGGCACTTACAGCTTTGAATCATTTCTACCAGAGTCTCCACGGCCATTTTATCGGCATGATCAAAGCCTAGCTCAGTCAAAAGACTTGAAACAGCAAGAGTAAGGACCCGCCTCCGAACCGCCGTCGGATTTTCCGATGTCACAGACATGATTCACTTCCTTATTTTCTTCACTAAACAATTGCCAGATTTTATGAAAATTCAACAGCATACATTGCCGCAGTCTTAACAAACTGATCAAGGAGGAATTAATGAATGAACACTTGACTTTTCATCTTGCGGGTTGTTTACACACACGAGAGTGCAGACTTTTAAACAAATGCAATTTGTGGAACTATGAAAAATTCACTTGATGACGAACGGCCGACAACTTCACGAAATAAAATAAATAGAACAACTGCGGTTTGCTCATTTTGGGGGGGTGTAGAGTCACAGAAAATTAAGCAAATTAGGGTTTAAAAAATCGGTTTGAATTATGTGTAACACTTTTACACCATTTTCTGCCTTTTGTCTGTTCCAGTGCCACCAACCCCGAGTTGGTTCCATTTTATGCCGCTAGAGGACGCGACGGTGAAGGTATGACAGCCAGTGAAGAGCCGGCGAAAGAATCAACAGCACATGGGCGGACATAAAGGAACATCGCAGTAGAAGAACAATTTCCAAGTCTATTTCGGTTCCGAATACGTTGTCCTTGAACTAGATTTGTGGTCTTGCTCTCTTGCAGCATCATCATGGCTTGGCAACCATTGGAATCAAACCCTGAAGTAAGTGGGCCCAGCCTAGCGTCCTCAGTCCGACTCCCACTTTCGCTGTTTCATATTTCATTACATTTTAGTTGATTTCTCTGGCGGTCTCTTATTTACTGAATTGAAAGGCGCATTCTCCTCAATAATTTATTGTTTATTGGATGCACAGCCATAGTTCAATGCACGATCTGAAGTAACCATATGCTTTTTGTCTTGTCATCTGTGGGCCATTCATTACACTTTTACGATTGAACAAAGAGATCGCCTTAAGATTCTCACCTTCATTACTCTTTTGATCATTTCCATGAACTAAGCGTTTTTTGTTCCATACTAATTGTCCTCTTTATTCTCTCTGTTGCAGGTGATAACGAAGGTATAATGTCAATGATGTCTACCTCAATGGATTACATTACAAAAGAGTATCATACCGTAGTTCTTAAAGTGAATCTATAATCACAGTCAGTACTGTGGTCTGTGTTGATATGTTGCCTGATCAAGATTTTGAATTATGACAGTGCATATTGGAATGCTCTCTTACCCTCCATGGACGTCCGTTTTAAAATGCTGTAATATCCTTTTTTACCCTCTTTTTACAGTACATTAATCAGGCTGGAGCAGAAGATGTTCAAGTGACTGATGTTTATGGGTTGGATCCTGAATTGTTGGCTATTGTGCCGCAACCTGTCTATTCTGTCATTTTGCTGTTTCCTTGTTCTGAAAATGTAAGTTTGTCATTTTGCTCTTACTTGTACAGTATTTACAAGCTTCAGCTGATAACACAATCTTTGTCCACCCTCTCATATTGTTTTTTGTTTCAGTATGAGAAGTTCAAAGCTGAAGAAGAAGAAAGACTGAAAGATAAGGACCAGAATCTCCCCAGTTCAACATTCTTCATGAAACAAATCACTCCAAATGCATGTGGAACCATTGCCTTGTTGCATAGCATTTACAATTGCATGGATCAGTGAGTGCTGCTTGTTTACAACTCTAGTTAAATCTTTCCTGGCCTTTCCCCACTCTAATGCTTCGTTATCCCCAGGATCAAATTAAAAGATGGAATTCTTAAAGAATTTTTGGATAAAGCTGCCTCTCTGAGTCCCTTGGAGCGAGGAGAAGCTTTGGACGGAATGAGGACTATCATCGATTTGCACAAAGAAATTGCTGCCGAAGGACAAACAGAGGTATAATTCTACTCACATAATTTTTTGAACTTGAAGCTTGTGATACATTCTCTTCTTTCTGACATAAACATTGATGCAGGCCCCTCCAGCAGAAGAAAACATTATTCATCATTTTGTTGCGTTTGTGCACAAAGATGGTGCCCTGCTTGAACTTGGTTAGTGTACCTCTGACTCACTTTCCTGCCTTCATTTCGATTGGAGAGGAATGTCAAGCTTGTATTTCTTTTCTTTTTTTCAGACGGTAGGAAGTTTGGTCCAATTAACCATGGACCCACCACCCCTGGAACTCTCTTGGAGGTAAATTCTTTACTCTATCTTGAATGATTAATTTAAAAAAAATAATAACTTGAATCTATAGAGTATATTTATTTTGTCAGGATACTGCCAAAATTTGCAAAACTTTCATGGCCCGTGATCCCGAGGAACTTCGCTTCACAGTTGTTGCTTTGTGCAAAGCTGATTAAGTGCCAATATAACAATATTTTTCACGCATTTCAGTTGTGTGGCAATATTGTACTGGCCTTATATATTACAGAACCCACATCTCCTTGTGATTAGAGACTGATATTTTTCTTCTTTTATTTTTTGCCTCTACCCTGTATTTCAAAGATGTACACTTGTCTATGCATTGCTTTGTCCATGTTACCACTTCAATGTAAGCTTGTGTTTATTTTGTTTAAAATTTATTAAAGTGCTTCGAGCTTAATTTTATCATAGATTGAGATTGATATTAGCATTTCCAAACCAATTCATATTGTTACACTTTTACAACATTTACTAAGTTTACTAAGGGGAGTGGTCCTACTCTCTGTTCGCTTCAAGACCTTGAGCCTTATCCCTGAATTCCTTTGCAAGTTTAGTATTTTTTGCAGTTCCTCTTCCAAAGTAATGAGCAGAGCTGACCTCAAAACATGCACGGGCATTTCCTAGGGAACAACCTTTGCTAAAATATTCAAATGCCTTCTTCAAATCTTGAGGCATCTTGGTAATTTCTTCTGGACTTCTTAGGATGAGCCCGGCATCATAACATGAATTATGACTAAAATAATGAAGCATGTCACAGTACTTCATGTGTCCTTTCAGTGCCTGAACAAAAGATATGATAAGAATGTAAAAGAATGAGCGAAAGCTAACTTTGTTCTTGAGAACACAAGTGAGGTCATTACCTCAGGAAACCTTCGCTGATCTTGTAAGATCTGGGCATTCCTCCAACAGCCTTCTGGCTCACCTTTCTCACAGGCAAGTGCGGTAAAATGCATTGCCTGCAAATAGTACAGTTAATGAAAAGCTTTTAAAAATAGAACACAACAATCTTACCCCAACAAAAGAGTCATAACTGACCTTCTTGACATCTGTCTCACAACCCACATCACCTCCGTCAAGAAGAGACACCCCATACTTGTAACAACTTCGGGCGTAATTAAATTTTTCACATGCATACTTATACTGTTGAATAGCTTCCTTCATTATGTTGGACTGTGCATACCAATCACCCAACAAATGGCAGGCTGTTAACAAGAAATCAAACATATACCATGTCATAAAAAGTAAAAGAGAAGTCAGACAAAAACACTAATTATTCAGGAATTTTACCTTCAGCATTATTCTCTTTGAAACACTCAAAGTGATATGTAATTCTCAATTCCTTTAAATAAGCTTCATACTCTTCCGCCGTGTTAAGGTTTTTTGTACTCATTTTCGAAAGAAAAGAGGAGAGAAATGAGGTTAAGAAACTGTAAACTTTCCCCCTTTTCACAGTCACAAGGTGATGGCAACAACCACAACACTACAATACTTCAAATAGTTAACACCACAATCATAATCCAGGCTTTAGTACTTGATTTATCAGTCCTTGTTCCATTTCTCATAACAAAACGCAGAAAATATTTCGAAGTCGACCAACCAGGACCGGCCGTCGTCTGCATCCGCCTGTGGTGTGGTGGTGCAAGCAAGAAGCAAGCGCAAGGGGTATAGCCGGCCTCGGCATCGCCGGAGCGTGGAGTATGTACACAACGCGGAGTAGCTCCTAGCTCGCCGGGAGGGGGACGGGAAGACGGGTTTCCGGCCCGGCACTCAAAATGCACAATAAACAAAAATTACGTTGAAGCAAAAGGGATGCTTGGAATGACACATGCACTCAAATGACTGACGTAGAAAATATTGTAAAGAAACTGTTCTGTCATGGTTCCGTTATTTTATGCTTTTCATCCAGCGCTTTCATGTTTCCAACTCCACGGACACACCCATGTGATTGCGGGAGCTTCACAACATTTTCAAAGTTCAAAGGAAATAAAATAAAATTCAGAGATCCCCTCCCCCTCCCTCCTCCTTCTCCACGCAAGGGCAGGGCGCGGCGGCCGCGGCACCGTCTCGTCGGAGCCATATCTGCGACCAAACGAGTCGTGTACCGGTTAATAGGCCTTAAAGCTAAACATGACATCATTTGCCTTTTAAAAGCGACGCCTCTCCATGCCGATACTTCATTAGTCCTCCCCGGAGCGATAACAGGAGCGGCGACGTCTGGAGGTACCTGGGGGAGGGGGAGGGGCGGGGAAAGGGGAACCCTTGGCGCAGTCGCAGCAATTACGAGAAATAAAAAAAGAAACAGCTTCAATTAATCCTGATTGACCCGAGCAAAAATACGACCGTCCAGGTTGGAAATCGTGGCCACGCTGCCCGCTGCCTGTTGCCTGCCTCGTGGGCGGCAGGGGGTGCCTTGCGGTGCCGAGCCTTGGACGACCTCGGCTAGCCTCGGCCGGCATCAACCAAAGGTTGAATCTGGAAGCTGGGACTTTGACTTCAATCGCCGCAATGCTCCGCGGGATGGGATGGAGTGACCGCGGTGCCGACTTGGCAGGACCTGGAAACTGATAAACAGGGACGCCCATCATTGCGCCACGCAGGGCCTCGGGAGCGAGCGAGAGAGAGAAAGAGAGAGAGAGAGGGGGGGGAGGGGGAGGGACAAGACAGCGGGGGAGAGTTAAGTGCCGAATCTTGTTACTCGTGCCGGTGAGGCTGAGGCCGGGCGGCGCGGCGGCACCACGAGGTCCTCGAGGTCCACGAGGAGGCCGTTGCCCACTACATGGTCGTGTGCGGGACGCGGACGCGACGCGGACGACGCGGACGTCCTTCCCTCGGAGGCACGGCCAGGCACGGCGGCACCCGCGCTACGCACGCCGACCACCAGACACGAATGCGACGTTTAAATCTCAGCATGTTCACAAAACGCTTTCTTGGCCACCAGAACATGTCTGCGGTTTATGTCGGTTAACGAACAAACAGGTGCAGCCGGTCGATGGGTTTTGTTTAAAAGCCCCAATAAACTGGCGAATGGAGCTCTCTCGGAGTGTCACCGCCACTCGCCCGCACTTGCCCGCTGGACATCTACATTCGCCGAGGCGCCGGCCGCGGGAGAGGTCTTTTACGGCGGGGCAGCTAAACGACGGCGACGACGAGGGCGGCGAGGACGAGGAGGACGCAGCGGAAGGCCGAGCACACCTTTTAGCACCGCCTTATCCGGAGAGCGAGTTAAATTGATTGTGGCCGTCGGAGTTCTGGAGAGGCGATTTGTGGAAAAACAACTGCAACTCGATGCTCGCTGCCTCGCTCGCTGAGCTTGCAGCGCGTCATGCCATCCCCACTCGAGTGCAAATCCTCGCTGTGCACTTGCCTTGCATTTTGGCGGCGCTTTGCCCGACTGTGCTGACACTTCGGGCTGATTCTGCGCACTGAATTGTCTGTCTCTCTCGCACCTTTTTCGGGACCCCGCTTCAGTGCGAGAGAGACAGAGCGACGAAAGCGGCGCAGAATGAGCCTGCTGCCCTGGACGGCCCTCGATCCCCGGATGCGAAGACGACGTGTCCGGCGGCGGTAAAGAAATAAAGAAATCAATGGACGGCTGTTCAGGGGCGGTCGAGGGGCGGCACGGCACGGCGCGGCACGGCGCGGAGGCGGACAAGTGCTTGGAGATGAACCCCTGGGGTGGAGTAAAGGGCAGAAACTGCCCCCGCACGGCGCGGCTCGGCACGGCTCGGCTCGGCTGCACGGCCATCGGTACGCAAATGGTGGGCAATGGTGGGCTGACACCGGACACCCGTGCGAGGCGTCCGGCGGGGCGGGGCGGGCGGGGCGGCCGCTGGGGAGGCTGCAGAGTGGAGCGTGACCCCTAGGGAGACCTCGGGGGCAGGCAGGACGCAGAGCCGGGCAGAGCTTGCCAACATTCTCCCAGCGACGATTCCGGCCAAAAGAAAGGAGGACTCTAAACCCTCTTCACCGAGACGCGAACAAAACTCTCACGCACTCCACGACATGCATAGTCAACCAAATCAAGAGAAACCGGATTCAGATTGGAACGACGAAATTCGAAATTCGCTTCAAAAGTTTGGACGCGACAGCACTGTAAATTGAATGGCGAGCAAAAGTGTGGCGAGAAATTTGATGCTCGCCACAGGATGGCGAGACTTTTTTTTCTTTCCCCTAGGTTGGCTGAATTCTCACCTTTGAGTTTTCAGTGAGTGCAGTTTTATCGCTAGCTCGCGGATGCTCGCGGCGGTGCGGCACGGCGTGGCGCGGTGTGATTGCGGTGCCTGAATTACCCATGTCGCTGTCGGCCTGTCGGCTTATTGTCCATCGCAATCAGGCCTGGCAATCGGGCAATCGGGCAATCGGGCCGGCCGAAGTGATTCCCCGCCTGATTGATACTTGGAGCGCCGGCCGGCCCGACATTTTTATCACGTTTAGAACAAATAAAAGGGAGGACCGCCGGGAAGGAAGGAAGCAAGGCGGGCAGGCAGGCTCGGCCCGGCCGTTGGGGAGCGAGCGAGAGAGAGAGAGACGGGCAAGAATAATGGCGACCGCAGGAATAGGCGAAGAATACGTGTTGGGAATACGCGCCGCCCCCGCGCCGCCCCCGCGCCGCCCCCGCGCCGCGCCCTAGATTGAGCTCTGCCTGCTCTGCCGGGGCGGAGCGCGCGAAACACAATGGATAGCAGCGTTCTCCGGCATTGGCCAATAGGGTTTTATGTCTGTTTCCCCCAGTTTATATTTGCTTTTGCTCCTGACCGCGCGGGGGCGCCGTGGCCGCGCTGGGGGCAGTGCGCGGCGGAGTGGCGGAGTGGCGGAGTGGCGGAGTGGCGGTGCGGGGGCAGCATGCTCATTCCTCAGACGCAGGGCGTAGCGGCGTGGCGTGGCAAGGCGTGGCGTGGCGTGGCGTGGCCAGGCGTGGCGAGCACGCGCAGCGACCTCCGCGCCCGCAGGTCTCTTTACGCGCTCAAGGTGCGGCCGGGCCCTCGGCCAGCCCTAGCCAGCCCGGGGCCCTAGCCGGAGTGGCTGGTATACGCGCGCTAAATTTTGAACAAAGCGTCTCCCCAATAAAAATGGAATTCCGGGCCGGGCGCGCAGTAACTCCGGGCGCCAGGGACGCCTCATGAAATCTGCCAGATGGAATTCCGCCCTTTGGTATTCCCGGCCTGTTCCCGGCTCGGACAGGGCGCGGCCGTGGCGCGGCGCTCGGGTCGGGGAGAATGGAAGATTACCGGAGTGCCCCCGCGGCCCTGCTGGCCATGCAGGCCGTGCCGGCCGTGCGAGAAACCCCAACGGCGGCCTGATTTGAACGCGATGGAATAGGCGATGAGGCCGCGGCCTGCAATTGCGTTTTTTAATAAAAACGAAAACCGCCGCCGCTCAGAGCGTCTCAGAGCGCGCGCCCCGCCGGCCCTGCTCTCGCAGCGTCTCGCCGCGTCTCGCACACCCCCTCCGCCCGCGACCATCCCTTGCTGGGGGCGGGAGGCAGATACACTAGAAGAATGCGCGGCCAGTTGTTGTGCTGCCGCGGCCGCCGCGTTTTACGAGTCCAGCCCGATAGTTTGGCCAATGGAACCCCGGCCGATGCCTTGGGCCCTGGAGGGTCTCGCCGGGGCGGGGCGGGGCGGGGCGGAGCACCCGCACTAAACAACCAAAGGTGCGGCCGCGGAATACCAATCACAGCCTGTGTGTGTGCGTGTGTGTGTGCCTGTTTGTGTGTGGCTCCCCTATTAGCTGGATGAGGGCGTCGCGGCCCTTCGGCCCTTAGTGCAGGTCCTATTTAGCTACAGGCGACACATGCGGACTATACAAAGGGGCAGCCAGGACCGTTTGACTGGGAAGAGGGTCCTGGCCGCGAATGAAGCGAACGAAGCCTGCGGCGGCCCCGCCGTGGCCCTGCCGGCCGTGGCCCTGCACAGCCTGCATCGCGTGCATTATTGAGGACCGCTAATGGGGCGCCGCGCCAACTTCGGGGTCGCGGCGGTGGAGGCCGTGGTGGCGATGGCGATGCTGGTTGTCGCGCCGATCTGGCGGCGATGACGGCAGGCATGCACAGTGTAAGTACTACCTGAGATTGCCTTCAGAGGGGCCATCATCACTTCCCCCTTTCCTTCCGTAGGCGCGCGCGCTGCAGGCTGACTTTTAGACCATCGCGGCTCCCGTTTTTCAGAAGCGCGCTCCTGGATGGTGATAGGCGCCGAACTGGAGACAGCTTTCACCGTTGGAAGCATGTTGATTGTTGGCCGTTCCGAGGAGCGTTGGCAGGTTAGGGCAGTGGTTCTCAACCTTAGGGTCGCGACCCCAAGTGGGGTCGCGAAAAAATTTTAAGGGGTCGCGGCGAGGTAGCTGGGGTCGTGTTTTGGGCCGATTTTAAGCAGCCACTGCGTCTGATCCGAGGCGGGCATTTTGCTCCCTCAACGGGCAATTGGTCTTTGAACCTTCCTTTAGCATGCCTTTGTTACGGAGTGTGATTATCAGTCTTAGTTTGGGAGCAGTATTGTCTCAAAGTTTACCAAAACGGTCAGAAATGTCTTTGAAAAATCGTGTTTTGGGCCGATTTTAAGCAGCCACTGCGTCTGACCCGAGGCGGTATTTCGTCCTCCTTCAACGGGCAATTGGTCTTTGGACCTTCCTTTAGCATGCCTTTGTTACGGAG